GCGAGGAGAACAGTTCGGGTTTCGAAGTTTCTGGACTGAGGACAATGATTCACACACACAGAAAAATGATGAAGCCTGAGGGCATTAAGGAGTAACTAAAGCCCCAGACCACTTTGACCTCTGGGTATGAGAATTGACTATGATGTTGTTGATCAATTCAGGTCTAAATCTCGACAGCACTAAGTATTTAAATTCTACCTAGTGTGTTAGAAATAGTGTATGCCCTTTTACACGTTGTAACCCGACTACACTAATAGATTTTTATCTATTGGCTGATCTGTGATGCATGTCGAGCGTTTGTCTCCAAACCTAACAAAAACTACATCACCCTACTGAGCAAACTGTGAGGAGTCAAGTGGACTGAGAGAATTGTGGGGCTTGATTATGTAATTATTATGTGAAATATGGTGATTGTAAAGTGTTAAAACTATTTGTTCAAACATGTTAAAGTCATAACATACGAATCCACCAGGGGGCCTCGTCTGCCATTCAGAGACGCCCACCTCCCCCCCACCTCTTGCGCATACTGTAGGAAGTTACAGCTGACGGTAACAGCACGAAGGAGTGAGTGGGCGTGTCTTAAAGGCGTTCTGTAATTGTGTGGAAGAAACTGGGAACCTATCGGCTGATGGGCTGATTGGCGAGCAATTTTTCTTTGAGCCGTGACTGCTGGTCAGCGGCGTCCTCTCTGGTTATAAATAAATAAATATAAATACCGCCTCTATTTGAAGCTTCTGTTTGCATTATGCATTGATGTGCTTTATATAACCCCTGTACAGACGCACAAACACCTAAAGGAAACCTAAAGACAGTGATGGTGACTTACAGCATGACAAACACTGTCAGGGACATTACTGATGTTTTATAACCTGATTCTTTTTACTCTTATTTTTAGGACTTCATGACCAAACCAAAAGTTATAAAATGTTCTCAGTAGATTTATGATGAACTGATATTGCAAAAGCCATTTCTGATTTTCCATTAGGAGTCCAGAAAGGACCAAAGAGCTGAAAAGAGAGGTTCAAAATGACTTGTTTTAGTCTTAATAAAATAAAGAAAAAATGCAACAGCAATAGCTCGATCTCCCTAAATCCGGCGCACAAGTAAACACAAGATGGATAGTGTTAATCAACGTAATCATGGTCTTTTTGAGGACGAGCACTAGAATGTTAGATGACGCATATCGTGAGCTGACAGTAAATTATGGCAGGGCAACTTTCTTCAAACCAGCGTCATGACAGTTGTACTGATATCAAGCAGACCAATCACAGTCATTCCCATCCTCCTTTCTGCAATGTGAAGTTACATTTCTGGAAAGTTAGTCTTTGCCAAATCAGTGCAGGAGTTAAAATCTGGATTGACCCACTGAAGAATAATCCACGCAGTAGGGAACACAATGTATTGGGTGTCAGCCCATTCAGGTAAAAAAAAAAAAGGTAAGGAATCACTTTCTGTGTCAGTAAACATGAGCTGCGTCTGTGCATCCTAAAGCGAGACTGTTTCAACAGAGGAGATAAACAAGAGGGGACAGTCATGTGCTGGAAACACTGCAGCTGCACGAGACAGAGATACAGACTGGGGGTATCAATGAGAGTACAGAGTACAGCTGGGGGGGAAAATAGTGCAGAACAAGATTACATAACAAGAGTAAAAAAAAACGTTATTTCTCCCTAATGCATGATCATCAGGCCACGTGCACTAACAAGCATTGCTCCTAGGCTGATGGATAATCTCTGCGCCACTCAAATATGTAGAATATCTGAGAAAAACCTGCTCTTACCTTCTCCAGCTGTCATGGTGCAAAGACGCCCTCAGCACTGAAAACAGAGAGGAATACTGCTGCGCAGCTGATCGCTCTGCCCCCCCCCCACCTCGCTCTCTCTCTCTCTCTCTAGTCTCTGCTCTATATCTCTCTCCCACTGTTTACATCCAAGTGCAGCCTCAGAAATGGCTGCTTTGTTTTGCTTGTCATCCCTCCGTCCCTCTCTTCTATGTCCTCCTCTGTCTCTTCTGCTCTCTCCCTCTTTCCCTCCTCGACTGTGTGGTCGAAAAAGTCGCCCCCTCTCCCTTTAGCTCTCTCATGAGAAGATCCGCATGAGAATCACAAACGAGATGCAACAGAAACTTGTAAATGAGTCCCTTTGTTTGTGTTTTTGTGCAATAAAAAAGGTGTTCTGTGCAGATTTCTTTTACTAATTTATGGCTCAGATGTAAAATGGATGAAATGTGTTGAATCGAGACAATATTTTCTTCTTTTTTTTTAGGGATGAAAATATATTCTTTCATATTTAGTACTTTTGGTAAGTGAAGTTTTGCTGTGTTGTTCGTAGATAATGTTGCTTTGATTACATTTTATTTCCCTCATATTGTTGCTTTTTCCTTGTTTTTCATACAAGGCGTTACCTTTACTTCTCATCGTCTCTCTCTCAGTTTGTTTAGCACACCCGTCACACTGAAATGAGGCTCTGTTGATCAGAGCAGCTCACCCTCTCTTCACAGCTCAGAGACAAACTGGGCTTAATAAATGTAGATTCATGAGGTTAACTTCAGTGCGGCTGTGAACGAGAGGAGTGGAGCCTGTGAGGATTGGAGCTGCTTATCATGATGAATATGAAATGATCACTTCTCTAATGACTGAATAAATGCTACAGTGATTCATGTTTTAAGCAAACTTCTCTTACAGTGTGATCCTTCAACAGCAGCACTGTTTTTACATTTACCAAGATGAGTTGCAACTTTCTACACAACTATTGTTATTTGTTTTTAAACTCAAATTATTCAGTCTGCTTTTGCCCCAGATTTCTGCCTCTTAAAGGAAGTTTCTTTTTGCCACTGTAACTTTGCTAAATGTTGCTTAGTGCTCATGACGGATCAGGGTTGGGTCTTTGTAATATCACAAAGGGTCAGGTCTTTTACCTGCTCTTTGTAAAGTGTGTTATGAATTGGCGTTATACAAATGAAGACTGATCGATTGATTGACTGATTCTGAGGTGTAGAAGAAACATCAGAGAGTGAGGAAAGAAGTCCTCAACCTGTTTACGTTTGTGTTGTTAAATTCATCAGATCAGTTCAATAAATGTTTCTTAATCCATGAACGGGATGTCTTCCTTGGTCATGTCAAATAGATTCAAGTGGCTCGTCTCTTTGCTGATTTTGCTTTTTTTTTTTAATTCTGCAGTCGTGGTTGTTTTGCAGCAAACACAACAACTCCCATGATCCTTTGCTACCCAGTTTCTGTGAAGTTACAACTGCACCTGTTTTTACTGTTTAACTTAAGTCGCACTCACACTAGGCTCAGTTGTCCCGTACCGTGCTTAAGCACGATTGACCCTTAACTGCAGGAATGACCTACTGTGCAATAAAGTCAGCCATGAAGAGCCACATCAACCTGAGTACTGTACTCTCCATACACATAAACTTGTACTGTGCTAACTTGTGCAGGTCTCTTTTGATGCTGGTGTGGAAGGCAGCCGTCCATGGTCAGATCAAAACATCCTCGCAAAATCAAACGAGGATTAAAAGAGCAGGAAACAGCTGCATGAGAGATTTCCTCAGATAAGTCCTATTTATGAAAATGAGTTTGTTTTTTTGTACTTCAGTTTAAATTAAAATCGACAACGCCGTTAGGAGTGCCAACAGAAAGACAGAAAAGCTAACATCCTCCTCTAGAGGGTGAGCAACTATCCCTGAACAGTGAGATTGAATTAAGCCGTTTCATCCGTTGAACTCCGCATGTGAAATGTCTGCGAGCGCTGGAGCTGCAGGGAGATGTCGCAGACTGTTATGAAACGCTGAGCTCTGTCTGAGTGTTTTCTCCTTGACTCAGCTGTCGTCCCTGGACTGAGAATGCTCTGTGGATGTAGTCAGCTGTAATAGGACGGAGTCAGCAGTGAGGGCGTCAGAGCGAGCTCAACCTGCACAGAGGTCACAACTCCACTAACAAAACAAAAACACTCACATGTGGACAAATCAAAAGAGCGTACATCTGCATTCTTAGGGGTCAAAGTACTTTTCCTGCTGTGGCGCAGTATTTATCAGGATTATATTTGACCAGTTAACTCATTTCCCAGAAGAGTCATTACAGTGGATAGAGTTCAGGGGGGGAAGAGAGAGGGAGCAAAAGAGCCACAGGTCAGATTTGAACCTGGGCTGCCCGCTTTGAGGACTAAAGCTTCTGTACATGGGGCACGCAAACTAACCACTAAGCCAACGACGCCCTATATTCGTGCAATTTAAACAGTGTGTCCAGCCCCAAAGGCTTCTAGAGAGCTGGAATGATTGTTGGGTAGAGTTGAAGTAATTTTTGTTTTTCTCTGTTTTTATGTCTACTTTGATGAATTCAATCAGCCCAGAGGGAGGTCTCTGGACGTCTGTTTTGGTCTTTGGCTCAAGTAAGGGACATCTGAAAGCCGCTCTGCATGTCCACCTCCTGTGGAGAATTCTCATCCCTGCTAACCCCAGGCTGTCCGTCTGGACTGAGCGCCTCCTCCGCCTCCTCCTCCTCCTCCTCCTCCTTTCTGTCTCCTCTCACACACACACAAACAAAATGGAAAATAAAACACGGAGGAAGCTGCGACACGTTAGAGACATGTGAAGGACTCAACAGTCAGCAAAAAAATAAACACAAAGAAGCTTGCTATTTCCCCCCTTTTAAATGATTCAATGCACCAAATTAGAAAACAAACAGCGATCTGCTGCAGACCCACAAACTGCCCTCATTTAATACCACATTATGCAGACACTACAACAGTGCTGATATTCACAGAGCATCTGCCCGTCCTCGTTTCCCACCGTGCTGGATGTCAGCGGGGAGCAGGACAACCAAAACAAAGATGCGACCAAGGAGACGAGAACTACACTTTAGCACCAAAAGACCGTTTCTAACTATGTCGTCAATGTTTGCATTCAAACTGTGGATGTACGTTGTTATTAGGGGCACAGCAACAAGTCAAAGAGCCACCTGGATCCCTCAAGTCAATAACAAAAACTGGAACACTTACCTGAGCCAGAGGAGGGGATCATGTTCCCAGATCTTTGGACTTCATCAAATTTACTGAAGATTACATTCAACCTGTAAGTACAGAAAACAAACAGAAGGAAGGAATAAGAGTCCTGCAAACATCTGCAGATAAGTATGCAAAAGATCATGTAAAAAGGGGCGGGGGCGGGGGGGGAATTAAAGCGTGATGGAGATGTTGACTGCATCATCCATCACTTTATGGGTGAGAAGCTCTCCCTCCGCTGTGTGCAGCAAGAAGAGCCAAGACCAAAATAGACGGCATCCAAATCTGCCACCACGATGACAAACTGGCACAAAGGCCAGAAATGAAAGAGAGACAGAGAGACAGAGAGACAGACAGACAGACAGACAGACAGACAGACAGACAGACAGACAGACAGAGAGGCAGAGAGGCAGAGAGAGAGAGCGAACAGTGGGAGAGGCCAGTGCAGGAGTTCATAAAAACTATCGAAATAACACAAAACAGATTGTTAAAGACATATAAATGAAGCTTTACAAAAACTGTAACTAACTATATCTGTGTTGTGTGCTATCAAAACTATACATTCAGTTCATTGTGTGAGTGTTTAGAGGCGGCTGTGGCTCAGTGGTAGAGTCAGTCGTCTCTCAACCTGAAGGTGGGGGGGCTTAATCCCCAGCTCCTGCAGCCACATGTCTGATGTGTCTTTGGGCAAGACACTTAACCCCACGTTGCTCCCACTGCTTCGTCGGAGGCGTATGAATAGATTATTTACTTCTGATGGTCTCACTACACAGCAGCCTCTACCATCAGCGTGTGAACGTGTAGGTGTGTAATATACAAGCTCAAGTCCATTAATTATTATCCGTTTATTTACTGTTCTATAACTGCTCATTTATGCACCTATCTGCTGTCCAATAACTTAATATGTATCTACTAATCATTCGATTAATTACTTTAATTTATCCAGTTGGAAAAAATAAACCACACAGTGAGTTTAAATCTCCTATGGTTGATCAATGCTCTGAAAATGCAGTTTTGTTTTCCTGCCACAAGGGGGAGAAGGATTGTTGAGGCCTACAGGTATAACCTCTTTGTGTCTGGACTAGACGTGAGGAAAGGAACATCCACTCACTGATATAACGCCGCCTGACTGATGGATACTGTGTGCAGGATTTTAATGAGTCACTGAGTGAGACGTATAATCATTTGAGCGTCTTTCACACATGCACAGCACTTCTGAAAATGTCCCAACATTTGAGCTGCATGTGTTAACACAAATGGCTGCCTCTTTCACCCCGCTTCACCCTCACTTGTGTGAAACATGCCGCATGTTTGAAGGACAAGTTCCTGAGAATATCGGGAAATTATCAAGACAATGTCAAAAGTGCATGTGTGAAAATGGTGAATATATTTACTGCGTATAACAGCTGTCTTAGGGTTTCTTTTTGGGCCTTTTATGCCTTAGGTTAGAGATTAGGGAAAGAGGATCGAGTCAGAAATCAGGGAGAGAGAGAGAGTGGAGAACGATATGCAGGAAGGGAGCCAAAGGTCGGACTCAACCCGGGCTTTCTGCCTCGGGGACCACAGCCTCAGTACATGGGGCGCGCACACCAACCACTACACTACCAGTGCCCCCAAACTCTGTATAAGGCTGCAACCAGTAATTCTCCTAATAATGTCATAAACGATGAAATAAAAACAACTTCACTTAAAAATGTTGTAATTCTATGCAGTATCTTTTTCTGAAGCCTGAAGAGTCATGGACCTACCTGACTCGTCGGGTCCCCCAGGAGGTTACATATGTGGGGAACTATTTTACTGAGGGTCAGGCCTTGAGCTCCGTATCTGAAATACAAGAAGGGGAACGAATCAGCACAAAGAAAACAGATTCACTAAAGGAGATCATTACAAGCTTGTTTAAAACATCTGTAGCTAGTCCGGTTATTAATACACATCATACTTCACAAAGTAATTCCTAGAAACAATGGCGTCACTTTAGCAGTTGGACAGTTTGAACTGCGCACAAATCCTGGCCATGTGCCGGTACCTAAACGTTATCTACTGTATATACACCCCTGTCTTATGAGGTAGATGTCATCTTTTCAAGTTTGAGTACCAGATTGAGACGTTTTAAAACATCTGGTATTTAAAAAGTATTGAAAATTTCGGCAAACTCTAAATGGAGATTCCCTTCTGTCCGTCCCACTTTAACCATTTTAAGTGAATGGGATGGAGTTTGTTAACTCACGTGCTCAGCGTGGCGATGAGACAAAGGCACACTCCTTCTCTGGTCCTGTTGTTCTTGTGTTTGAAGCCTCCCAGCATTCGGTCCCACACGTACTGTAAGCAGCAACACAACAACCAAACAGAACAGTATAAACATTGTTGTTGTGAGTCATCGCTGCACTAATAACTTTCCAGGGCTGCAAACTATGTTAAGCTCCCTAAGTTTGATTCTGCTGTGCGATTACTGCACAAAAGGCACGCTATTCAAAAGGTTTGAACGCCAGGGAGAAAATCACACTAAAGCTGTTTCCACATATACACTCCTGAAAACATCTGATGATTTCAGGAGGACTGCTCGGATATTCTCCTGACCTGGCTGTTCATATATAGGGCTTTCACACTTGCAGAAAACTCCTGAAGAACTCCAGATATTTCCAGGAGGAGCTTTATGTGTGAACACAAACAGATGAATTTTTTGCTCAGACTTCACTGGAGTTTCTCCTCCCAGACCATTAATATAAGTCAGAGTGAGCTGATGTGAGAACGCAGCTGGATATTATCAGGAGAATTCACCTCGAGCCAATAGGAGGGGGAGGGATGTTTATATCCTGTGACTGGAGTGAGTGCATTGACTGTCTGTGCATGCCTGCTACGATCTCTGTGCATGTAATTAAACGGCTGCATTACATTTTCTGTTCACCAGTTTGTTGTTCTCCGCTCTTCTGTTGATATTGTGATTCCATCTAACTACATGTAGCATTGATATGAAGGTAAATATTCTCATTATAGCGTTGTATAGCGGGCTCTGATGCTTCGTCCACTACTTCTGCGTCTTTTTTTTTTTTTACGTCACCTCTTACCTCAGGAGACACAATAGATTGAGAATAAATGCAACAGCTTGGAGTTGTATGAAAATGAAAAAGAAATGTTTTCTTTACAAATAAAAAAGACATTTTCAGCTCGATTAATCTGTTTATAAATGTTATCAATGTGAATCAGGGTTGTGTAACTGTTGGAAAACATGCGCTCTCAGAGAAGCTGCTCTGTGTGTGTGTGTGTTTTGTACCTGCGGGCTGGCAGCTTGTTCCATGATCTTAAGCAGCACTGTTTGGTCTTGATCTCGCACTTGGTCTTTTGAATCTCCCAATCGATCGATAAGGCTGGGCAGAACTGAGAGACAGAGGCAGGAGGAGAGGACAGAAATAGTGGAGGGGAAACTTTTAGGAAGAGTTGTATCTAAGTCTTTGTGGTGCCAATATCACAGACAGACAAACAAAACAACATTGAAACTATAAGAATCATTAATTCCAGATTTGTCTTTTGTTTGGCTAAACTGGCAGACATTCATCAAAGGGAGGAATCTGAACGCAGAGCAGCTAATGCATTTTTTAAAAGTGAGTTGAGAAAGGTGTGAGAGCAGAGGACGCCCGACAACAAAAGGTGATAATGAGGATAGACACACCCAGGAGGACATTAGCATCTTTTTTTTCAAACTGAAGAGAAGGAGAGGGAGGAGAAGAAGAAGAAAAACAAGAATAGAGAGAGAGGAGAGGAGAGGAGAGGAGATTTTTGGGGTTGCTCTGAATAACAATCTTACACCACGAGACAGAGACACAACCTCAGACGGTGCCAAACATATAACAAAAAACAGATGAAGATTATGATAAATAAGAACAATTTAAGATCAATCATAGATAAATGTAGAGATTTTAACACATACAAAGGTGAATCTGAATCTTACCTGTGCCCACCTGGGCCCTGAATCTCTCTTGTAACCGTGTCACTAAGGCAGATAAGAGGTCCAAACCCAGCAGAGCCACCTAGAGGAGAGAAAGAGAAACAAAATAAATCATAATGCCAATTTTTTAAATGTATTTCCATCTAAATGAATCTTATGAAGTGAAATAGTTAATGCTCATGAAAACAAATGGACAGAGTTATCATTCTCACAGCCCTGGACAATCCTGAGAGCTGTAGTCAAAATGTTATGCCGCAATGCATTATGGGTAAGCAGCACATATTCAGGGTGCTGACGTTTTTCTTCGACTTCTAATTCACACTGCACCCTGCATACTTTCAAATACGACATTAAACCACATTTGGGATCCAAGAAGAGCATGAAATGCATTTTCTCTTCCTGCACCGTAAGTGAAGACCGTCTGACCAAACATTCATATAAATCCACGAGCCACTCCCAACTCATCCTTCCTTGTCATGGGGTGAGAAAGAGCTGCTCAGTGAACGCATAGTGAGAGCAGCCCTGCTGACACCATAACAACACTTAAGCATCACCTGGGCCATTGTCCAGATACTGGTGCAATTTTTGAAACCCCCTAAATATGTCAATAAAACAAAAATAGAGGATTAAATGTAGAATGATTTTCAGTAGGAATACTGCCATCTAGTGGCATCATTAGAGGCCTACAGTACCTGCAAATTGAGACAGGCTATCAATGCAAATTAGTACGTTAATATACTACATTGGGAGGATAGAAAAACATTTCATTCATGCTGCTTTTTTCTCACAAATGTTTCAACTGTCCCATCCAGCAGAGGATAAACACTGACATGTTAAACTCCTCCTGCATCTTTGGTCAGTGCGTATTAGCCAATTAGAGACAGAGTAGGGAGAGTCATCCCTTCACCATCCTAGGAAAGAAATTGCAGCGTACGATTGAATACTGTCAATAAATGGTTTGAATCAGAGGGGATTTAGAAGAAGTGGGTATGTTGGTGCTGCTGTGGTCAAAATGTCATGTAGATCTTTTGTATTTCAACACTTCTTTATTCTCATAATACCTTTAAAGTTACATCATATTTATTGCTCATATCATTTATCTGTATTTATGGGACAGATTTGTTTTCATGGGCGCTCCTTTGACTGCAGAGAGCAGGTAGTGAGCCTGAGCAGCAGGCTGGGGGTCTGGTGTCTGTGGGTTAAACCCTCACATCAGTCCCTTTGTTCTCTGATGGGCAGAGGGGAGGGGGGGGGAATTACAGTCATTAGCCTGATGACAGGGACAAAACAAAGGACTCTCTGAGTGCTCTGAGGGGGATCAGCAGAGTTTAACGATGCTTTAAACCTCCACACCTCAGTTTGAAACGGTAAGCTCACACTCGGGTTCAGCTCCTCTTGCATAAGGTCGACGCAGGAGGTCTGTCGCACCTCTTCTTAGCCACTTGTTTATGTTCTTTTTATACATTTGGGTAATGGTGTGTCACAAAAGGAGCATGCTACAAACTGCCCCTGTGTTTGAGTGCCAGTTCAACAGACCAACCAGCAGAGTTCAGTCCTGCCAGTGCCGGTCTGAACGGCTCCTCCTCTTTGCAGACAGACGGCTAACTCCCTGAAGCTGTCTGCCATGCACATACGGACTCCCCAAAATACAAAAAATATCCACCCTGTAAATCCTGCTCAAGGATCGGGACTAAAACCCCTCCGTCATCATCCCTTCCCAAATCCTCCTGCTTTAAATTCTCAGTCCCCATTTCATCTCCTCCTCTTACCCGATGTGTTTTTGTTGTTCTGATGCCGAGATCGTGACTCCATGTCAGCAGAAAATAAATATATATAAAATAACACCAACCCAGAGGGTTAGGGTTTAGAGGACGAACCCCCGACCTACAGATCCTTTAGGGAGAAACTTTCTATAAACAGATGACTTGAGAAATTCCTCAGACACGCAGCAGAAAGCGTTGTGGTTAAATACAGGGATTAACGAGTGCTTTGTGGATTTGTTCTTTTACTCTTTTCAGTCTCTCTTTGTGCCTCTTTAATTTGTCTAATGCAAATCCCATCACCTCACAGCCGGAGGCTTTCCAGAACCTGACCTCTAAAAAGAAGTGAGGCTTTTTCACCAAGTTACTCTGTCATTCTTAAACCCTTTTTCTAAAAAAATAATTGTTAAAAAGTCGACCTTTGACATGGTTTGTTCGTACAGTATAAAAGGTCGACAAGCCTCCATCGTACAAAAAGACAACAAGTTGGGGGGTAAAGGTGCAGACAATTGTTTAGATTCTCTTTTATGATTAGGTTTAAATTTGATGCAAGACAACTACAATTTATGTCACCTTTTCAGATCAGAATGCACTCACACAAGGCAATCTGTACCGTGCCAAAGCAAGTTTGACCTCCAAAGTCCAGTTTGTTTGATGGAGTGTGAGCGCTCCGATGAATGTTCAGGTGCGATACACTTCTTTGGCCCTGGCACCGTTGGAAGAGGTGGGCTTCGGCACGGTATAGTTGCTCATGCATGAGGATACAACTTGGGACATGACAGGATAACAAGGATTTCATCTTTGATCAAATACTCATTATTAGTTGATCGGGGTCCATTTTGACCGTGGGGGAAACCATGAACATCATCACATGTTGCCTGCAAAGCAGTCTGACATACTCTCATGCAACCCTGCTATGGATCATTTGTTCAACCTTTTGTTACACGGATGGGGTTCTTCTGTTTTATACTGATTGTGGAGGTGTCCTGTCTTTCATGCAATTATTTTTTTATCTTAAAAAACTGTAAGGTTAAGTGTGTGTATTTGGTCAAATTAGTCCACGGGCTGTTCAAACAGGATCCTCAATTGTGATATCTTTGATATTTTCACATTATAGGGGAGAAATTGTTAAAGATGCAAAACTTTCAATACAAATGATTGATTGATAGAACTTTATTGTCAGACGTGGTTTGAAATTTGTCTTGCAGTTAGTCTGCATTTCAGCGAGGTACCTCAGAACGACTAGAAAGCATTTGCAATCCAACATGTTGTGCAACATTTGTTTTTATGTGCATTAATTAGCCCTTAGTCTAAAGTCTAAAGGTGTGGAACAACCAGCAAGCCTTACAAGGACATGCATATGATCAAGTCTCCAGACCCTGCAAATAAAATTGAGAAATGAAAAAAACAAAAAGGATTTTAAAACCCTGTAAGTATGCAAACACTGGGGGTTCACTGTTTCGCACAATATAAAAGTCTGCACATAAAAGCTTCCTCACTGAAGAGCTGGACACGTCTGTACACGGGGACATGTTGACCATCATGACGTCTCACCTTGTGTAAGTCAGAACAGAGTACATGGTTTGAATGGTTTCTAAAGCTGAAGGTCTCTGTCAGGCAGAGAAGCACGTCATCCCACACTCTCTTCCAATCACAGGCCGACCTTTAAAGAAGAGCTTTCAGTGTTCAGACTTCAGCATGAGTTCAGAGAGTTTGATACAAACAGGCAGGTTGTCTCCTGCCTTTGATTTCATCTGTAGCTGAGGGATATGCTCTTCATTTACATAACCAGCTGCCATTGGGTTATTGAACACTTTTCTGATTGTGTCTGTGTTGTGTACGAATCCGTCATTCCGACATGCTGACTCCTGCTACTTTGCCATCTCTGCACCTTTGACTTTAGAAATAACGTGGAAAGGAAAAGGATTAACTGATGCATCAGGTACTAACTTGTGATCAAACTAACCCCCTCAATCAACACATTTTCACTAAAAAAAAAAAAAAAACACACGTTTGTGTAAATCCTGAAACAGAAGAGCACACCCTCCTTTCTCCACCTGCCTCTGAAGTGGAGGAGCCTTTAAATTAAATCAAGGATTTCACTCGCGCTCACCGCCAAGTCTGTCATCTTATTACCGGTGGAAACACCACACACAGAGACAAAGAGAGGGGCACGCACGCACGCACACACGCACGTCGCCATCTTGGAAGTTATTTCATCTAAACAGCCTGTCCTTTTCTCCAGAGATTGGACCAAAACACAAACATACACACTCACATTCTGTCATATTTATCCTGACAATAAACGTACTTACTAAACGACAACCAATACCCTTCAGATATTTAAGAGAAGATCATTTAACAGCATGCAAAAGAACCCAAACAGTGCAAGCCGACTCTGCCTCATCGTGACACACAAACACTGAAGGCTGTAGTTTATTGCAGAGTGCTTTATGATTATGCAGCATACCTGGCCCTCCCTCTCAGCCTCCTGCTTCCCTGCTACAGGATTTGTGTCTCAGCCATGGTCATAAAACTCGTCTTTGTCTGCATCAGCTCTACTTTTAAGTCCGACTGGAATGACACTGTAGCTGCAACACGAAAGCTTTCTTTGTGTGTAACTGCAGAGACAAATCCCTGAGCATGTAAACTGACAGATGTTGAGATCTGCAGGCACACAAGAACCTTATCAACATCAGCATTACAGCCTACAAACTGGCAGATGAAGTGCTATGTTTCCTGCAGGATGTTTGCTATCAGCTTGTTCACTAAGCCACCTCCGAGCACAAGACGTGTGCATATGTTTGCAGATAAAAGAGGCGTGAACTAGCAGGTAAATATGTGCAGCAAATTACAGACTGCAGCTGGACCTTATCACCGCCATGCCAGTGATAGAACAGTGACCGTCACTGATTTATGCAAATATATCTGAAAATGAAATGTGATTTTCTGCACGCATGCAAATCTTTTCTCTGACAGCCGACGGGGAAATAAAAAAGAAACTCCTGATTTGCTTCCTTGAGGGGAGAATGTGTGACTTTTTGATCCAGTAGATGTCGCCCTTGAGCACCAGCAAGAAACCAAAACAAACTGCTGTTTGGCCACACCTCCGCTATCCTGAAGCCTCCGCTCTCCTCCAGCGACACACCTCCAACCCCTCTCCTCCGTTTGCACAAGGAGTTATACAATTTTCCCTCATTTAAACAGCTTTTATACGCAACAAGAGAAGCAGGCCGGCCATCCCGTCCATATCAACACCATGTAAACACGGCTCCGACAACAACAAAGCCAGAGGGACTCGAGCTTCTTACTCATTGTAGACAGTTATGACTCAGAGAGACATTTACACAGGATATACTTTATTTATAGGTGAAAAGTTGCACATTCTTCCTTTAAGGTTAGTCTCTGTATATATTCTTTTAAGATTTAATTTTGGGCTTTTCATGCCATAACTGGAGAGACAGGACAGTGGATAGAATCGGAAATCGATGGAGGGAGGGAGGGAGAGAGAAAGAGAGAGAGAGAGAGAGTGAGAGAGCGGGGAATGACAAGCGGCCCGGATTTGAACCCGGGCTGCTTGCTTCGAGGACAAAAGCCTTGTACATGGGAGGCATTCATGAATTATTTAACTGTTGGTACCTCTGCGCCCCAGGTTCAGTATTTTGTAAACCTGGGTCCTATGCTTTGGGGTCTAAATTCGCAAAGTGTGGAACGTCTCCACTAAATCGCTTCAACATGCAGCCGCCAAACAGGCTGCAATGACTGCAAGGAGTAAATGCACCAAATCAACAACCTTTCTTTTCCACTGACAGGCTCGGATAGTTACTCTGTGT